TCGCGGGCGGGGGTGTGTGTGGGGCCGGGTGGGATCAGCCCCCAGGGCCGCCCGGGCCTGCCTCAGCTTCTTCCCCAAGCGTCCGCAGCCCTCTGCGGTGTCCCCGCTCCGTGAAGTGTTTTGTGGTGGCGTTACTCTTCATAAACTACGAGTGAAATAAGCCTCATGCGAAGCATAAATTAAACTCTGCAATTTTCTCCTTCATTCCTTCACGACCTTTATCTTTTCAGCTGTGTTCGTCTCAAATTCATCACATGGAAGTTAGGAAAGCTTGTGTCTTATTTATGAGGCAACACCAGCATAAGTTTGAATCTGTAAGTAATGTGTGCGTTAGGCAGTTTTGCACGCGTAGTTAGGAAGCAGTGTGGGAGCAAGCGAGTGGTTTAGCCATAAACATACCCACATAAACATATGCACCGAAAACATGGCATGCTTTGCCACGCTTGATGCATGTAAAAGACGAGAAGTGGCAGGATGCTTGCTTGCTTACCTTATTTGAGTTGCAATTGCACAAATTTTGTTTGAATTTATATCTCTGAAGTTCCTTAAATCAAGCAAGTTACTAATACCCAAGTAGCCAGTAGGGTGACAGTTATTTGTGTAGTATACTCCCTGCGGAGCAAATTTGTTTTAATAAGTAGGAAATAAGTAGGATTTTGGAGTAAGAAATGAACGTCAAAAGGTGGTGGAGAACTCCAGAATGTGTTTAATCATTATTAAAGTCATGGGGGTTTTGATATTTTTTTTTTTTGGTTGGTTTTACATGTGGTGGTTTGTGTAGGTGTGTGTGCGGCACAGTTTTGTGTGGCATTGGGATGGTTTTTGGTGGTTTTTTTGGTGTGTGTGCTAGGTTTCCCCCCCCCCCCCAGTCACAGTTAAGTGCTGAATCTAATTTAGGAGGGGGTTGAGTCATTACTCAGACTCATGCTCTTAATTTTTTTAGGATCTCTTGGCATTTCCACATTGGTATCCCAAATCATGCCCATGCCCTAAGGCAGGGAACAGCTGAAGTCATACCCCCAGTCAGAGCACAGCCCTTCAGAACCCCAAAATAATAAGAATCGGCACGCTAATCCCAAATTTGGTGTCTGTGTCCCCTGCCCTCCCTTCTCCTGAGCAACAGCTAGTAACATATGGTAGTAGTGTTTAGGTTTGACATTGCTTTCCAACTGGCTAAGGTTTTATATTTGGCTTTTTTCTTTGTTTTGTTGCAAGTATGTGGAAGGATCATTTGAGAAATACCTTGAACGACTAGGAGATCCAAAGGTAAGACTGATCTAATGCTTGTCAAGAGATTAAAATTTGAGGAGACTAGAACTAGAAAGTAAAAAGGTGGGTGATGGTTTTGGGGGGTTGGTTTGTTTGTTTTTTTTTTAGCTACATCCCAATCCTGGGGTCTCATTTGTATAGGTAATATTATGGGTTTGTACTGAATATTCACATACACAAACAATATCAGTTTTACTGGGGAATTTGTGTTGGTGCAAAGGAGCAATCTGTGCAGACTGGACAGTAAAGCTGAGGCCTCTTGTGAGCCTTACTCATATTTTGCTTTTACCTTCTTAGAGAAGAATTGCAAATATGTGGAGTGTACCTCACATCAAATGTTTATCAAGCTTTGCAATCCCTTGTTTCTTCCTTTACCCCCAGGTTCAAATACTAGAGTTCAGGCTTTTATTTCTTTAGAGTTTTACCAGTAAGTATGGTGAATGCAGCAGTCTCTGAAACAAATGTGGCTTTTTAATTTAAAAAAAAAAAAAAAATCTTGAGTGATGTGTTTGAGTTGTGGCCAGAACTACCTCCATCTTGCTCAGCTTGGTAATCATGGCCATCCCATGTTGCAGACTTTTTTTTCCTTCCCTGGAAATCCTAATAGCTCAACTCTCAATGCATTGATTATTTGTTTTAACAAACTGATGAGTTTGGCTAGATATTTTAATACACAGAGAAATAGAGTTCTTGGTGTTGAAGACTTCTCTGCTATCTCATGTAACCTCATAATCTTGCATAGGAAAGTGCTGGCCAGCTGGAAATGAGTGCTTTATCAGTGATGTACAAGTAAGTGTCTCTTAAATTTCACTTTGTTTTGGACTCGATGGTGTTCTGGTCCCAGAACTTTTTATTTGTTTGTCGCTGAGATACTAATGCGTGAGACGTGGTGAGAAATGCTACCCTAATGAAGTTACTTAAGCTAACGTGTAAGTGGGTGTCTTCACAGCCCCTGTTCTTGTAGTGTGGATTAAGGGAAGGGTCAGTTTCCAGCGATGTTTATTTGTTGTCTTTTTGCTAACATTAAACTCTGAAGTCAAGTGTTTCCTTCTCGTGACTGAAGGATAGAAAATGGGAAAAAAACAAGGAGCTGTGTGTAGTGGAAACACTGTGTGGTAGTTACAAGCGTGACTCAAACTCAAGTAGGTGTTCTTCAAAGCTCCAGTGGTGTGAGGAGTACTTGCCCTACTTGGTGGATAAACCCTGATACTTACTTCAAAGGTAACATAAGCCTGGGCAGGTACTGCTGGCTTGCTAAAAATGCTGCTACCCTGTAACAAGCAGCCTGGCTCTCCAGTGGTAGAAGGAAGAACCCTCCCTTTGCAGGCTTCTGCTGTCCCAGTACTAAAGGAACAAACTGAAGTTTGGCAAGAGTGATTAGTTCCTGTACTGAGGCTCTAATTCTTTTGCAGGGTGACTAAATCACTTAGACTTAATTGTCTCAGTGTCTGAGCACCCTGCCATAAGCATAAGTACTTGACCTCATCTGTGACTAAGTATAATGGCCTTTCCCAGATAATTTTTTTTCCTCCAAAGATGGGTGGTGTTTGCTCATCTAGCTATGGCTGTATGGTAGCATTCGTTTATCAGGGAAAGTATTCGACCTGACTTTTCTATAAACCAACAGCGGATTCTTCAGACAGCTCCTTGCAAACTTCTTCACAGCGTGGTTCTACTAGAATTGTGCTCTTTCAAGTCTTGGTTTTTCTCCGCTTACCTAGGCGAGACTTTATTCTGTACCGGTACCCTGGAAAGCCACCCACTTACGCTACAGACAATGGCTTTGAAGACAAGGTGAGGAGAAGTGAGGCAATTTCCTACCCCTACCTGAATCCCAGTGACCTCCAGTCCTGCTTGGTTGTAAAAACTTGCGACTGGAATTGAGCTCTTTTAACTCCAGTGTTCTTGCATACCTGAACAAAACCCCAAAGCTGACTTCAGCTCATGGAAAAAGCACAGTATTTGCACAACAGTTAATTCGATTATAGTAGCTTTGCTTCCCATCTGAGGGAGGGATTGTGTGCTGTTCCCCTGCTAATCTTTTTTGTTACTCCAGCTCATTATTGGAAAGATATTTTATTTTGGCAGGAAGAGGTGACCTTGCAATTCCAGAATATTCTTTCATGTTTCTGAAATATCACTCGGTAAAAC